GTAAAAAACAAACCATTTACAGTATTTCAAAACAGCTCCCACAAGATACTTACTAATTACAAAGGGAAAGATACAGTAGTCATTTTGTAATGGAGAAACATGGCAGATACCACCATAACCAAATGATCAGGTTTAACATCACCAGGAGTGAAACAAAACAGACATCATGCACCCCCTGATAGGATTTACTAAGGCACAACACCATTCCTGCACTGGTAGCCCTGCCAAAATGCATAATCTGGGTCTAATTATGAAAAAACGTTAGCTAAACCCAAATGCAAGGAATATTCAAAATAAATGACCTATACACTGCAAAAATGTCAAGGTAATGAGACTCAAAAGATTGAGGAACTGTTCCAGATTAAAAGAGACTAAAGAGACTTTACTAAATGCAATGTGCGATCCTGGATTGGATCCTAGACTACGAAAAACTAAAATGAAATTGAGACATTAGTGGGATAATTGACAAACTCTGAATAAGGTCTACAGTAGATAATGGTCCTATGGCAATGTTAATTTCCTGATTTTCACTTGTACTGTAATTATGTAAAAGAATGTCCTTGTTTTTAGGAAATAGGCAATGAATATTTAGTGGCAGAGGGGCATCACGTCTGCTACTTAAACTACTGCAGTTCAGAAGAAATTTATATGTATATGATGGGGAGGTGGGGAAGAGAGAGAATATGAGTGTAAAGCAAACATGGTAACATTTTGGAAACCTAAGTGAAGAATGTATAGTAGTATTTTGTATTAACTTCTGTAGTCTTTCTATAAGTCAGAAATTATTTCAAAATTTAAGATATTGATATCACAAGGATTCAGAAGTCAGCCTGAAAGGGCTTCCACTGGCCAACACAGGAACAGTGTGAGCACCAAAATCAGTAAGTTCAGTGGTGATTATAAACCACTGAAAACATATGAATCAGGCCAGGTCCACTGACTCACACCTGTAACCCCAGCACTCTGGGAGGCCAGATGGGTGGATCACTTGAGGTCAGGAGTTCAAGACCAGCGTGGCCAACATGGTGAAACCTCGTCTCTACTAAAAATACAAAAATTAGCCAGGTGTGGTGGTGCATGCCTGTAGACCCAGCTACTCAGGAGACTGAGGCAAGAGACTCACTTGAACCTGGGAGGCGGAGGTTGCAGTGAGCCAACATTGCACCATTGCACTCCAGCCTGGGCGACTCTGTCTCCAAAAAAACGACAACAAAAGAAAACATAGGAATCTATAGTGATAATCAATAAATGAGCTGAGGATAAGAGAGGTCTCTTGTTTACAGCAGAGTATTGAAGACTAGTGAAGGGAATGAATTATACCTCAGTAGGCTGTTTAAAAAATGTGATACATGGCCGGGCGCGGTGGCTCAAGCCTGTAATCCCAGCACTTTGGGAGGCCGTCAGACCTACTGACGGGCGGATCACGAGGTCAGGAGATCGAGACCATCCTGGCTAACACGGTGAAACCCCGTCTCTACTAAAAATACAAAAAACTAGCCAGGCGAGGTGGCGG